CCCCGCCACAAAAAATAATCCCGAAGCAGACTGTGCTAGAGAGAGCCCGAGCACACTCCCAGGAAATGGAAAACAATCTGCAACTCCAGCAGAAAATCTGCGCAGCCAGGATGCCGAGTCAGCAGGGAAAACAATGACCCATCGCCGCGGGGCCAAGCTGTGTCACCAGGTCTTGTCACCAGGTCTGCCACGGGCATGGACCCTCCCCGGCCCTGTCCCCCAGCGAGGTCCCCTCGGCCGCAGAGGAGCACAGCTGGGCTGTAACACCCATCTCCCAGGGGGCCGCCGCACAAACCCCTCCTCCGCAGAAGCAGGGAGAAACGCCGTGCCGCAACGTCGGGCATGGGGCATCACGGCCCTGAGCGGCCGGACCTGGCAGCCGCGGTGCCCATAAATGGGGTTTGCTTGTGTTGTCTCCCGTGGGTGCAAGATGCGGGGGAGCCCGAGCATCACTTTCGGTCACCTCGCAGGAGCAGCGGCCGCTTTGAGTCAGCGAGAGTGGGTGCCCGTTGCCACCGCTTTAATTCAGCAGCGGCTCCCACCCACCTTGCACAGCAGAGCTGGCTGCAGAGCCACGGGGAGGGAGCCCCTCAGCACCCCTGCAGTGGGGCTGTCCCAGCGGACTGGGTCTCTGCACCATCGCTTCCAGCCCCATATGGGGAACGAAAGCAGCACCGAGAACCGTGGGTGGGCAGGATACATCCCTCCGCCCGGGCAGAGCCCCCTCACCACGGCTTAGCGTGGACGGGTGGGGATGGAGATAGCAGTGACCAAAAGGATGCGAACTGATCCTGAGCTGGTTTGTCCGGCAGAAGAGGGGTGACTCACGCAGGTGCCAGAAGCGGAGGCTGCACAAATAAAAGATCTCATGCAGAAAAGGAGGAAATACTATTTTTGAGCTGAATAGCTGCAGTGGAGCGGGGCCCTGCGAGGCAAGTGTTGTGCAAGAGTTGTGGTGCAGCTGCAAAGGTAGAGGTGGCAGAAAACAAGCCAACCTGCTGTCAGGATCTCAGGGTTTATCACTAACGTTATCAGGGCTTTGCTAAGAGAGAAATCGTAACTGCTTTCAGTAGAAGAGATCGCTTTAAAAGAACAGATTTGCCCTGATGCAAGGTTTATGTGGGCACTTCACATTTTACTGCTTTTTTTGTGGGGTTATTTTTGTGGGCGAGGGGAAGCACAAGGAAAGCAGATTCCCCAGGTCCTTCAACCATACCAACACGTTCAAACCAGATAAACTCTCATAAATTCTCTCTTCCTCCTGCTGTTAATAAAACTCCAGAGATTTCTGCTTACGAAAGAGATGAGAAAGAGCCGAAGTGCGTCGTGGGCAGCACAGGGATGAGCCCCCAGCCCCACGGGACACATCCTGCGACTCCCTACGTTCCCCCTGCCATCCTTTATTAATACGGGCTCGGCTGAAAGCCCATAAACCAGCTCGATTCTTCTGTGCGAGCTGACCTCGGATTGCACTGGGGTATGCAAAAACCCGTTGGGGAGGGCCAGAGGATGCTCAGTTTGCACTAACGTTTACTATTCGTACAGCACTTTGTAAACTCTTAAGTCATAAATATTTCTATGTGAGACTCAAACTTGTGTTTGCTGTAGGAAGGACACAAGAGGAAACCCGAGGGTGAGAATAAGAGGGGTCTCACAGAAAATCAGCATCATTTAAAAGTGCGGATGAGTCCCCAAAGGCCTCGCAGTGAGGAGACACTTCAGCTTCAGAGGCCATCCTTCATGGAAAGGTGATGGACGTCACCCTGGCACAGGAAACTACCATTTACGGGTGATCCACGGAGGCTACCCTGCCGCTCAATGACAACTTGAATTTCCCCAGCATCGCACCGAATCAGGACCTCAGGATCTCATTACCAGATCCCATTTATGAATTCATGCCATTTCTTCATCAGAGACTTCCAGGACTCTTCCCCTACCTCTGAAGCAACCGAATTCCCAACTTTTTCAGAGTCAACATCCCACCAAAAAGGACAACCCTTTTCTGGCTCAGTTAATAAGATGACAAGAGCAATGAAGCTACAGAAGGAGGTTTACAGCAAAAATACCCTCTCGCCTGCCTCCTGACGTTCCCAGGGAGAGGCAGAAGGTGCAGGGCAGCACCCGAACAGCCCCCGAGCCCCTCTCTGCGGTCGCCGCTGGCTCAAAGGCCTCGTGTGCAGCCACACAGCCAAACTTTCCAGGAAGCACCCCCAGAACGCCAGCGCTTCACCGCACCCTCACTGCCCGGGCCCTGCTCTGCCCTGCTCCTGGCACAGCTACAACCACGGCAGCACGACCCACAGACACCCCACGGCAGAAAAAACCCAAGGCAATGGGAGACCTGATGTTCAGAGCATCGCAGCAGCACCTTAGCATCTCACTCAGCCACAGCATCCTCCTCCTCCTCGCCTGTCTGTCCGAGCTGCCCCGGTGCTGGTCGGGGTGCAGGATGCGCACCTCCGTTTCAGGAGGGCTCCAAGCTGTGATGCCCACTGCCCCCCCACG